GAAAACTGGTCAGTAAATAAGGAAGACCGTAGAAGAATTGACGCATTTGAGTTATGGTGTTGGAGGAGAATATTGAAAGTGCCATGGGCTGCCAAACAGATCCATATTGGAAGAATGCAGCCAGAGTGTTCCTTGTAGGCCAAGATAACCAAACTTTGTCTCTCATACTTCAGACATATCGTCAGGAGGGAGCAGTCCCTGGAGAAGGATATCATGTTGGTAAGGTGGAGGGTCAGAGAAAAAGAGGAAGACCTACAATGAGATGGACTGGCCAAGTGGCAGTATCTATGGACTCAAGTGTGGCAACAAAAGTGAGGTTGGTCCAGGATCGGGCAGTGTTTCATTCTGCTGTGCATAGGGTCGCTATGAGTCAGTATCTACTTGATGACACCTAACAAAGACAACAATTACAAATTACCTCAACTTCATTTCCCCTGCATGAAGAATAAATAAAGATACAGTTTGTGTCTTAATGGTACAACTACAGTATAAATTCTTTGATTAGTCTTGAGAAGACACTGGTGTGTGGGAAAGATTTTAGGATTGAACCAATTTGTAAGCAGAGAGAAGAATGCAAAGACAAGTAGAAATCTATTCCATGCTTAACTATGTATTATAAACATTTCTCTGTTGCCTACTAGATCATTTTTATAAGCAAAACATTGCACCAAAATACTCTAGCTTATATAATGGGTTATTTGTCATATTATTTAATAACAGTTGCAGTCACATAAAAAAATAATAATAATACTTACTTTGCCATGATGGTACCATTTAAACTCTTAGAATTCAAAGAAAAATATAAAGGTGTCTGCAAAGTAACTTCAAATTTGGGTAATACTGGGAAAGAAAATGAAAAATATTTTAAGGAGTTGATTTTTATCATCTTCAATTTAATAAAGAGACAATAGTACTAACTGAAGGAGTAATACCTGTTATCACATACATTAAAGTCCTTAGTTTCAGCCCCAAATTAGAAACTGCTACTCAGTCAGATTTATATAATTAGAGTATAAAAT